TTAAAGGGAAATAATATAGATTTTTCGAAGCTAAAAATATAATTTTATATCTCCGGGCACGAGCACGTCAAACTTTGCGATCAGTGTCCCGAAAATACTCGGTCTGAACATTTGCCGGGTGTTCCAGGACGGGCCACTTGGCAGATTACCAACATGCCTGAAGTAAGATTATCCGATATCCTCGGTTTCCCGCGATTTTGAATTTTACACACCATCATAATGTGGACAACAGTCCGATCTGTCTACCATTGTCATGGCACCAACTGAATGGGAGATGCAATCTACCCGTCAGTACAAGAGATTGTTTCATGACATGTATGATGAAGTCTTCAAAGAGGCAGACTAAAAGTTTGAACCACTTCATAAAGGAGAATGGCAAAAAAGGAGAAAGGCAACAAGGTGGAATTGGAATCAAAGTATGCAGCTGCACAAGAAGAGCATTCAAACATGAAAACAATGATGGGTGCGGCTCGTGGTATGATTCAGCGTCTTTTGCCGCAAGAGGGAAACAAGGAGGAATTAGACAAGATTGAAGCCAGCATTGCAAAGGCCAAGTTATCCCATAATGAACTCCAAAATGATTCTGGGTTCTTGGATGCAATGACACCAGAAAGTAGGAAAGCTTACACAGATCATTTGGAGGATGGGATCAATGCAAACATGGCGGTTGTAAAGAAATCTCGGAACAAGCCCTTGTTCAGTGATGCTGCAAGTGATAGTGATAGTGATGATAGTATTTAGTAGTGAACAAAGGGTTTCTATTCTGTCATATATGCATGACCATGCTTGTTAGTACGCATGCCAGTTTGCATTGATCGCAACTCTGAGTTCCACAGAGATAGACGCAGAGGCTTGTTCTCTTGGCTCCCTACTTCCATAGATTCGTTCACGGCGTTTAGCAAGATATTATTCTGGACGAAACAGTTGCGGTCCAATTTGATTTCAAATCTTTCCGCATAGTGTGGCAAACATATGATGGGTCATGCGAAACATCTTGCAGAAGTGGGATGGAGAAATGTAGCAGCGAACTGGTCAAAAGTAGGCCGGAGTAGGTGCATTGGAAGGGATCTGTTCATGCTGCGTTGTTCTTGTTCTGCAATGTGGCATTGAAGAAGATCATTTTCCCGTTTCTTCTTTCTGGAAGCTGAGGTTTCTACTATGCCAAACAAGAAGATGATAAATAATAGAAGCTCCCCTCCATGGAAGGAGTTCTACGAGCATTGTTCATGGTTACGACACTTATGAAATGATGGTTTGCACAAATGACGACCAAATACAGGGGAAAATACGTGAAATGATGACTGAAATTCTGATCTGGAATCGTGGAGTTTGATTGGCTATACGTCGAAAATACTCCAACGTAGACTGCAGGCACACTGTTTGATCTCTTTGACTACATTGTGTTACAGACGGACGAAGGCCGAACGACCTTCCACCGTCAAAAGTTGTTGTCGATGCGCCGTGGCAATGATGCCCAGTTTATCGACTGAGATTGAATTCACCCAATTGTGTTGTGGTAATTCAATTTTTCTCTTGGTACCCAGCCTTTGTCTGCAAGCGAACGAAAACTCCAGCTCCTTCCACGCTGCCCTCATTCATTGCGATCGGCCAGCGTGACGTGCAGCTAACAACTTCCAACATCCCTCCTATAAGAGCTGATCGGATTGTCTTGATCTTATATTCGCCTTCCAACGCTCTGAGGCATTGTTGATACCACAAAAACGCGTTCTGTGCCCCTGTCATCCTTCGAAAAATGACATCCTTCCCCAAGTTCTTTGGTCCTGAAAGTCCCCAGATGGGAACTCAGTTTCTCTCTTCTGTCAGCATCTGCTTTTCAGATGATTCAATTCATCAGGCGATTCATGACAAGAAGAGACCAAAGAAATCGGAAATTCAAGCGTCTTTTGGGTTTGCCGTTCCTACTGGTAAGCCCTATTCGGTCTATGGTCGGGGTCGCAAGGACTCAGTGACAGCAGAGACCATTTCTGCTGATACTGTCCGTTTTAATGCACCTCAGATGCTCTCTATGGACAAGTTGCGGCTCTTGAGCTCGTCTCGTGTTGGAGCAGTCCTTGGCGTATTTTTTACTCCAAATTCTCCTCCGGTTATTGGATTTGGCGCTAGTCCAGTTAGCACTACTTTTAATGGGCAAGATGCTGTCCATCGCTGGGCCCCAAAGTGGTCTGATTGCTTTGAGCCCGCTTTGATCCAGCAATACTGGCAGGGCGATATGAGTGTCCCTACTCATAGTCTGGTGGTTTCCCTCAGTTGGAAAACACGGTTGACAATGCCGGTGCGGCAGCGGGATTTTGTACAGGCGACGAAGCCTGCAATGCTATTGAGAGATTTTTCAAAGATCCTGCTGATTCCTGATGGATGTGGTGCCCCGGTGGGCCTTTATTGGCCAACTTCTATTTCTTTCGAGGATTTCAAGACTTCTTTGAGTGGACATGGTACTCCGTATGGGAGTTTCTTGGAGTTATTGCGGAGTCAGTCTTCTATTTTTGAAGACTGGTTTACAGCAGTGAATTCAAGTGCTGTGTCCTATCAATTGCAAACTACTTCTGCAATGGATCTGTGGGAAACTTTGCCTTGTCTTCACGGGGATGGCCTATTGAACGTTGCTGCCGCCCAACCCCTACGAGAACAATTTGCTCGCTACGTAATGGGGATGGCTCTGGATTGCTTGTGCTCTCTTTGGCCCCTGTGATGTGGACGATCGACAGGCTATACGGCAACGTTGTCAAGTTGGGGCATGGTTGGAACGTGCTCGGCAATGCTACCCGCCGGCATTGGGGTATCATAGCCCGCCGGATCACTTTGCGTTCCTATCTGTTCTTTGTCCTCCGGAGGATGGGTGGCCTTGGCCGGAATTTTCTACTTGGCTTTCTGATTTGCCTTTCGACGCGCTACCTGATAGGTATCAACGATATGAACCAAAAGAGATCCCTGTGAAAGCTCGAGCAGTCTTTGTTCCTGCCATTCTGGTAGAAAAAGCGGACCCTGATAGCGATTTGGATGCTTACGCAAATGTGTTTGCCACCACTGCACCTACTGTTACGGCTACACCTAACATTGCTAAAGTCCCGGCTCCAGCTCCGCATGTTGCTACTCCAAGTCCCCCAAAAGAAGCTCCGCTTCCACCGGTACGGCGCTTGGCCTCCCCACCTTCAGTTCCACAAGATGTCCTTGGCGCCATGCAAAAAGTGCGGGCTTTCCAAGAAACAATTGTTCATGGTACATCTGCAGGCACACCCGCTAATCCAGTTGATTTGGCTGCTGGTGATGTGGAGGAGTATGCCATTCGCCCGAATGACTTGGCAACTAGGTTTGCTTCTTTGGCGAATGATTCTTCTACGACAGCAGCCATGCGAGCTGGCAATATTGCGGATCGTCGTCGCTCTAGTTTGGCACAAGGAAGATTTGGGTCTGGTTCACGTGCGGGTTCACTGGGCCTGGCTCCGATGCGAAACAAGATGTTCAACCCGCAGACACTGGCGGCAGCGCTTGGAGTGCGACAGTCTCGTTTTGTTTCAGCTGATAAAGCGTCTCTTGCAAGTGTGCAGGCACATCGGACTTGCAGCCCTTATTTCCTGAATGTTGCTCTGGTTCTTGCAAGTTTCTTTCGCCAAGAGGAGCAACCCTATCTGTGTCTTTCTGATGATCGGGTGGTGGCTGCGACTGATTGGATGAAAGTGCCAGAACCCACGCAGTTGCTCGAGATCTCATTGCAGTATGGGACCATGGCCACAAGGAGGCAACATCAGGTGTCACACGAACATTGCATTATACGCTTCGTTTTCGTGCGGATATTGCTACGGAATTTCAACAGATCCCCCTTCCGTACAAAGCTGACTTTGATCTGCTAAATTTTGCAATGCATAAATCGATCTGTGATGTGGCAAGATGGAAGATGGGTCGGAAAGTACCACCACCCCCTGTCGGTGGTTCATATTGGCATATCTTTCACTTGCTACCCTTGGTCAACTCTGCATATGGTGGTACATGTATTCCTCCTGGAGGACTTCCGATTGCTGATGCACAATTATTTGGAAAATTCTACATATGGTGGTACATGTATTCCTCCTGGGGGACTTCCGATTGCTGATGCACAATTGTTTGGGAAGTATGTCTACCTTTTGATGTCGCTGTTTGGATCCCAAGAAGATGCAACAATGGATCAGATTTATGGGGGTGACTACGAGGACTCGGTATTTCGGGCATCACTGTTTGGCCAAAATCTGCTACATTTGTGCAAACTCCCTCAGCACACCGCCATCGTTCGCTTATGGAGATGCCGTCCTCGCCAATGCACTCTCCAGTGGATGGAAGATCTATGTGCTCTGTTTGGGGAGGTCACTGCAATGGTGCGTTATCGTTCCGGCGCAGCACCTACTACTTTGGGTCTTCAGGATGCTACGTTCCATGGCGAAGAAGATATTGTGGCTGGCGCTTTTGTGGTGGCTCCAACTATGGTGGGCCGCCATGAATTCACCAAAACCTCTTTGCTATTTAGACAAGTTTCAGCTGCTTTATGAACGAGTGGAAAGGAAGTGGGATCCTGCTGAGTTGGATGTGAATGGACATACTTGGAGTCATAGTTTTTCCTCGAGTTTTTTTGGCACTGCCATCCCTCCTGTCCTACCTCCTAGGGGTCCAGATTCTTTTCGACATGGTCTCTCTGATGGGGTACAGACGCCTCTTGCAAAACGACAAAGATTGGAACTACCTCCTGCTGGTCCACCACCTGGACCACCACGACCTGAACACACTGTCCCCTTTACAGCCAAGAAGCCTTTGTTTAAATCTTTGCTCCCAGTGGAAGCAGGTCAGTCAGTATATGAAGCTGTTCTGATGAAGAAATTGGTTCGAGGTGATTCTCCGCTTCTCTTGAATCCACAAGGTATGCTGAAACACCCAATTTGTTTTCGTGCTGCGTTTGAGGGGTCTTGCTTGTGTAACAACGGAACAGGGATTTGTCAGTCCCGCGGCTTTGCAAAATCTAAAGGCGTGGGACGGGATTGTCTGCATGTTGATCTTGCAGATCCTCGATGGCATGCACCAGCTTACGCTGAAGCGAATTGGGCCCCAGTGGTCAAGTTTGTAAAATTGTACCAAGAGAAGGGCGTTCTTGGGCCCTCTGATTGGTTCAAAGCACTGACACCAAGTGCACAATGGGCTCCGTGAGACCCACTTTTTCCGGAAGGTGCACGGCTTCTGGAAAAAGAATCTCTTACGGCGACATGCATTCCAATTCCGTTGGATTGTCGTGTGAAGAGGACGTTTCGACAAAGGTTCCCATCAAAACGGACTCGGAATTGGACGAAAAAGGAGCAGAAAAAGGCACGGCGGCAGCGGTCAATCCCTTGGCGGATGGACTGGTCATTGGTGGCAGAGGGCGTTCGACCACCTTTGGATCGACCACCTACAGCGTGGAATGACACTGTGGATTTTATGGATGTTGCTGTTCATGTTCAAGCTAGTGGTTTTCTTGATGCTTGTACTATCCATACTTTGACTGTGGCGCACCATCATCTTGCACCAAACTCTATGGTGTTGAATACTTGGATTGCACCTCCATGCAATCCTGTCAAGAAACGACTCTATGGTTTTGGCCGGGTTTCGAAAGACCACGGTTTGAATCATGATGTGGTTAATCCACGGTCCATGATCCATTTTGCTTGGCCATATCTTTCCGCTGAGGATCGACTTACGGCAATACAGGCATCTTTTGTTTGGAAGCAGTATGCAGAGTTGCGCCGTTTTGCATGTGTTACTTCTCTCAAGTCCTTGCAACTTCCACGTCTCTTGGTGGCTGATGAAAAGGTTCCCACTACTTTGGATCCACATCGAGCATGGCTGAATTCAGCCGCTTTGCTACGATTTGATTTCAATCATGGTGATTTCGTTCGCTGGCTCGGCGGTCCAACAAAGGGCGTGACTTCAATCTTGAATGGGATGTCATTGAATCCCATTTGAAGTCAAAGGTGCTCACATCCGATCTTCCACCTACAAAATTGGACATGGCGTATCGTATTCAAACTGAAGGTGTTCCTCTCCGTGGACAATATACTATGCCTATGGAGGCAACACTTCTACGAAACAAATATGATAACCACCCAGCGGTGGGTGCTAACTTGGACGCGGTGGAGAAGAAATTTGCAAAGGAGGAGTGGAACTCCTACCACATCAACTACCTGCGATTTGTCTATGAATTTCTCCCGGGCCTGGTCATCACTCCGATTCAGTGGGTCTTCGATAAGGGAAAGGGTCGAATCTGTATTGATTGCTCCAATGGTCCTAATTCCTTCGGTTCCATCAATCTTTACATTCCATCTCCAAAAGATGCTATTCCCGGTGAGGAGGATGAATGCCCTGCAGTGTACTACCAGTATGCATTTGACCGCTTCTTGCGTCAAATCCTAAGGATGCGCATCACTCGCCCAAATGATCCCATTATGGTCCATGCGGACGATATAGAAGCTGCATTTCGACGAGTGCTCTATCATCCCGATATGGCGTGTGCTTTTGCATATGTTTATTCGGATTATCTGATGGTTCCAGTGGGTCAAGTTTTTGGTTCTCGGAGTGCGCCTTCCTACTATTGTGTACTTGCTGATGTCCGCCAAGCATTGGCGGCTTGTCGACAGGATGAGCCTACTCTTCATCCATTGGTAGCTTCCTGCACCTATGAGGTAGATACTTCCTCTCCTCTTGTCCAGGTGCCTCCAGATTCGAATCATCCTCCACTCACTTTGCAGGAGCAAACTGAAATGTACAATGCAAGCTTTGTGGATGATAATGGCGTGGTGGCATATTTGAAAACAATGCCGCAGGCACTCCAGCACAGCGTCAGGTCAGCTTTTGAAGTCTTTGGTGACGAAGATCGTCAAGGTGGCTGTCTTCAGGATGCTAAGTGGACTTCTCTTGTTTCTGAGACTTTTCTTTTTCTTGGATTCCGCATTGACACCCATGCTATGACCGTTTCTTGGCCTTTTGCAAAAAGGAAAGCACTGGATGATGAAATCCAGGATAATCTTTCTCGCAAAGGAAAATATGTGACTCCCAAAGAGATGGCTCACATTATTGGTGTGATTCGATCGGCGGCGGCCATTGCCCCATGGGGAACATTTCTTAGTTTTAATTTGCAAAATGCGCTGACAACAGCTGCACGCAATGCATATTCTACAAATCGTTCTTGGTGGACTCGATCTTGGATCTATCTTTCGGGAGTTGCTATTGCAACATTGCATCAGATTCGGGAAACACTTACTGTTCCTGAAGGAAGTCCATTGTGGTCGCGTCCCATTTCCCTCTATTTGGACCGTGATTTTTCGCACCGAGTGTTTTCGGATGCTAGTTATGCTGGAATTGGTGGATGGAGTTCTGATTTTGGTTTCCTTTGGCGCCTTTGTCGCGAGGACCTTATCCGTGCTGGGTTTGATATGCGTGACATTGATTTGGCATCTTCCAAACCTGTTTCGGATGGTTCCAATGACGGTCTCCATATCAATCCTTTGGAATTCATTGGTGTTCTGGTGAACCTTTGGATCGTTTTAAAATTTGTGAAAAAATTGGGGCCCCGTTCGGGGGGCTACATTCTGCTTCTGTTGGCGGACAAAACCACTGCATTGGCGTGGATGTCTCTTGCCGCTCGCACCAAAAATCCGTTGTTACAAGGACTTGCCCGTTTGGGCGCAGCACTGCTTGTTCATGCTGCAGCTTTACTCACCAAGGTTGTTAAGTGACATTTGCCAGGCGATCAGAACGATGTGGCGGACGCCTTAAGTCGCCCCCCCACAAGCGCCAATCCAGAGCAAAATGTTCTGGACTCCGTTATCGCGCAATGGTCCCAGCTGGACAACTGTCGCATTTGCCTAGTCCCCTTCGAGCTGCTTTCAACGATTGCGTCCGTGATTTCATCACAATCGACCGCGGTACGGTACGATCAAATAACGACCAATCTTTTGAGTCCCGAGCTGCGCATTTTGCCTGCTTCTGCGAGGACATGGAATGCTCCGAGCACTATTTACGAGGATAAGACTGGGCTGACACTCTCAGACTTCTGGGTACCTATTTGCATTCAGTCCAGCGTGGCAACAATCTGGACAAGCTCACTGATTTGAGTGCGCAGACCATGACGAACTACCTGTCTGCTGCTCATCGTTGGCTTGAGGTCGTTCAGGACCATTCAATTGATATATATGACCCGCATTCCTCTGGAAAAGGACGCCGATATCATCCCTTCTTAGCCCAACAACTTGCTGACTGTCGGTCCTGGAAGAAACCAAGGTCAAAACGTGAGCCTTTTTCAATGCTCATGTTTGAAAAACTCTTGGCTGAATTCTCCGCTTCTATTACTCCAACACTTTGTTTTCTGAGCAAAGCATTTGCAGTATATGATTGGGCTCGATTGGGCGTTTTCACCGGCTTTCGCAGTGTAGAATACTCTCAGACTCGGGTCCCAAAAGGACAGCGTTTCATGAAAATCCCTGCATCTGCTTCTATCCCCGAAGAATTTCGCAATACACCACTGGCGTTCATTCCGGATGATTTCCGCTTCTATGATCGCAATCACTGTTTGGTCCCACATCATTTGGTATTCAGTCGACATTTAAAAGGAGAGATTCTGGAGTTGGAGATTCGTTGGCGCTATGACAAGAGTGCCAACAACTTCACCATCCGTCGATTTCGCCTGACGTCACATCCGATTTTTGATCCGATAGATGCTGCAGTGAGTATAGTCCATAGATGCCACCTTTTGCAGGTTCCGTCTGTTGAACCAATGGGGGTATTCAGTACTAATGGCAGAACCTACCGATTCTTACGCGACTCTGATGTTCGCAAAGTGATGCAGCATTCAGTGGATCTGGCCTACCCAGATAAAAATCACTACATGCAACGCAACAAACATCTCATCCAGCCTCATTCCAACCGAATCACTGCCGCAGTTTGCCTTCAACGTGGTGGAGCCAGTAATGACGACATTGCGTTTAAATTGCGCTGGAGTCCGACATCTGTGCCCACATACTTGCGTGACTGCTTCCAAGGCGTCGGTGATCTGTTGCAGAAGGCCATTACTGGAGTGATGAAGATGTCTTTTTCATAGGTCTCGTTTTTCTTCCTTCTTCGTGTTCTTTGCGTTCTTTTTGTTTGTCTCTTGGAGTGCTCAAAGTTGCTTGTGGTGTTGGGTTGGTCACTCCTAGATCAACCTTGTGGTAGGAAAGCAGATCTCAGTAATACCGCACACGGGATTTCTGAGATTGGTCGAACGAATCGAGAATAGTGCCATCACACGAGAGACATAGGATTGGATGGATGGAGGGACAGACCGAATGACTGCGATGCCAGAGTGCGAATAATGTCGATTTGTAAAATATACCTCATAGAAGAAAAAAATTCATATTCTCATATTCATCGATTAAGAATCTACATAAAATATAGGTATACCGGTAGGACAATTATCTGCGTGGTACTGTTGATCGAAATTGGCTGCAGAAGGAAATGAGCTGGGCTGAGGTGGAGAATCTGGAAACTGAATTGGGGCATTGGCAGTTTTGGTATGACGAGTTTTGGCTACAGCGTGTTTACAGAGCTGGTGTCGAATCGTCAGCGAGGTCAGCATCAAAGGCCCTTCCAGCCGAATTTTTGGACGATGACGGAGTAGAAGGGAAAGGAAATCGAAAGCTGTTCTTTTGGAGGGTGCTTTCTTCATGGGAAGAAGGAGACCACTGTCTACCAAAGTTAAAAGTAAGAGGTTATCGGCTGTATGCATCGTTCCACGGAGATCGGGTGAAATGTGATCCAGTCGTGGAATTGTTGAAAGACGACCGTGACGGAACGCTGCGGTTGTTTGCTGCTAAGGAATTTTGTCTGGGAGACGCTGTGGTTTTTTTATCGAAATACGAGGAAGCAACCCAAACGTGCTCACAGGGAGGAGCGTTCGCTAGAGTAACAGACGAGAGAGATAGGGGAAATGCATATCTGACACGTAGCCGTGTCCTACGATGCATGAGAAAAATAAAAAAAGGAGAAGAGATTGTACGGTGGATGAACCGAGGAGATCCAATAAAGTGTTTCGAAATGGTCGACCGGCTGGTAATGTCACCTGATAAAATGATTCTCGGCAGAGTTTGTTTACTCGATGTAGACTTAATACCCGGGAAGGAAGTTCGCGTTGGTGTGGAATATACGGATGGTACCGTACAGGATATCAAGGAGAAACACCACCTGCCTATTTTCCAAATGAAGAAGTGGAGGAATGACCTATTATAGATGAAAATGTAATATAATATGTGATTCAAGTCATTCAACCGAAGAATCGTCAAGTTCCAGGATGACAGGTCTTTTGAAATTGGCGTGACTGTCTTCAATTTTAATGTAGGGATACCCAAGTTCGTGATGGGCCACTTGAGGGTATGGTTTAGAGAAGAATGCATCTCTTACGTCAGGATAGCGATCGTAGAAATTTTCGTCAGCTTCCTTTTTAAAATAGGTCTGGACAAGGCGAATAATTGATGCATCATCGAGATAGTGGTCCATCGATTGATTTTCTCCATCAGTTAGGTTCCACTTATTCTTTACTTCAGCACTGATCCCCTTGGTTTTGAGAAACTGTTGTTGATGTGCGGTGAGCGAATGGAGTGGGAAGGGAAACAAGATGAACCTATAGTAACTTGCCTCAATCATTTTTGATATAACTGTCAGTTTTGCGCTATCATCATTATCAGCAAGGGCGGCAATGAATGTTGTCTCTTTGTAGTTGGAATTGTTCTTCAAAACAGGAGCATTAATCTGCTTGCTGATTCTCCTTGGGGCAACGGAACAAAATCCAATTTCTTCAGCAAATAGTTTCTCGGTGTTGCTGAGTCGGGGTTCCTTTGGGTCTTTGACTTGTCCCAAGGCCTTGAGAATAGGAAAGACGTTTGCCTCTTGCTTAAGACCAAACCTATTGAGGTAGAAAGCTGTAAACATTCCAAAGGCAATGTCTACCGCGACAATAACCATTGGTGGTTCTGATAGGTTGTTCAACAAAGGAAATTCCCCGTTAAAGTTCTTTAACCAGACTTCGGCCTTTAGTCTTTTGTTAGGGTAGTAGTCAGTGAGCTGTTTGTGCTCGGTGCGTTTTTTTTTCTGGCGACGTTTTTCGGGAGATACAGGCGCTGCTGTTGTCCGACGCAGCTTTTGCGATTTGAAGACCATAGACTGGTCTTGAGGATCATCCGTTTTGAATTTGATGTCCATTTTGTGGAATTGCAGATTTGTGACAACAAAAGATGTTAAGCCGTGTCTTGGAGGATAATGGGCTAGTATGGATTACCTGTAGGATGGTGCCAATGTTTCCATTTAGGGGCATGGTGATACATTGGGATGATGTCATCGAAAAGGGTTATATGTAATCCGCTTCAATTTTCCAAGTGTACATAATACAGAGGCGCAGGCTGGAAATAAAATTAGTGCAGTGGAAGAAATGGCGTGCATGGCGTTTGAGAAGAGTTGATGTAAAGTAAATATTAAGGCTATGTATTCATATGTCATCATCATATATTCGTAAGATGAACTAAAATGTATTTTAAACTAGTTCGTTTTCCTCTTCAGACTCGTCGTCGTGTTCATGTGTAACATCAACATCTGTGTGTTCTTGAGTCTCTGCATCTTCGTCATTGTCACCGGTTTTATATGGATTTGGACGTTGGTCATTGGCATCATCAACATCGTCATCACGTTTGTTATCGTCGTTGTCGGATGATGATGAATCCGATTCATCATCTTCTGTTGTTTCAGTGTTCTGACTCAAATTAGTCAAGGCAGAATCGGGAATTTCGAAATCTTCTCTTATGCGAAGTTTTTTGAAATTTTCATCATCCAAGATTCCAACGTTTTGTGGATAGACGGATGTGAGACGAAGGTTAACATTTCTGTTCTCGACTTTATCTGTTTCTCCCTTGATGGAAAGGAGCCCTCTCTTGCACCAGCCGATGATTTTCCAACCACCATTATCGTTGATGTAACTGATCATGTTTCTGATTTGGCTACGTCGTCGATGTAAGTGCATTTCTTCTTTAGGAGGGGTCGTGGTGCTCGTGTAATTTACCAAGTTATGAAAAAAGACTGACATCGTCCGAAAGGAAGCTAGACTGGCAACATGTGTGTCAGAATTGAAATGGTTTTGTGCCACGGGAATCCCAAAATCAAACTCGTATACCAGGGAATTGCCTGGAGAGCCAAATGCACAGACGCAACCATCTTTACCCCAGTGACGATCGCATTGGTACCCGGTGCACGTTCGGGTATTGAATTTCATTCTTGTCAATTTGATCGTTTTTCCTTCCTCGACAAAGAAAAATGTTTGATCAGAGTCTCTTGGGAGTTCGATCGGTGCTGGTTTTTTTAAGATTCTTGCGTTCGGTTTGAGGGGGAACATCTTCAGGTCCTTGTTATCAATGATGTGAAGATAATCTCCGACCTGTGATGTGGACAGGTCAGGTTCGATGAGGTAGAAGGCCATCCCCATGAAACTGTTTTCGTGGACGTGGGCAAGGAAGTGACATGTCTGTTGTGGGTTATGAGTCACAATAGCAAAAGTGTGCGGTGGATTCATCATGGCGTCCCCGCAAAGAAACCATCGGTGGTACGTTTTTGGAGCCTGATATGCAATCCTTGATTTCTTGTTGTTGTTATATGCAGAGGTTGCTCTTGTGGCGGTGGATGGCGAGGTACAGTTTAAAATAATCGCACAAATACCCTTATTTTCAAACCTAGACATCTTTTCAGCTTTCGTAAAAAACTTCATTTTCTTCAATTTGAAATTGGGATTGAGGTTTACCATAAGATCGTTTTGTAGATTGTTAACATTGAACATTGTTCATAAGCTGACCGAAGTTGACAATTTTGGTTTTTGAAAGTGCTTTGGACAAAATTATGGGATCGAACACAAATGATTTCAAACATCACGGGCGGCGGCGATGAACCGCCCAAGTGGAGAGATACTCACGAATCACCGGGTTTGGCATTTATAGTTTCTGGTGGGAAAATGAGCGGAAGCCGACAGCATCCGCCCATTTTCCTGGTTTGACTTCGATGAATGGAAAATGTTAAAATATAATAGTCGCTGATGGTAAGATCTATTTATTACTCTAAACCCAGCACCCCCTTATTGACTAGATTAGATGAACGAAGTGTTTTATAAAATATGACTATTGAAAAATATTTATTTATGTGTGTTCCATAATTCTGAAGGAATCACGGATTTTGAGTTCATAAGAACCACATTGCTGGACCTGTAGTTGGTTTCGTAGCGACCTGTATCTATTCATGGTTGCAGTTATCTCTTGAGCGATTCTTAACATTCCAACAGGAGAACATGTAGCTGCATTCCGTCGAGCCATTCCTAGTCGCTTCCACCGCTGTTCAAAGTTTCGGCGATTATCGCAGGAAACAAAACCATGAACATAACCGAAAAGAACCCATGGTAGCAGTCTTTCATTATTTGTAAAATCACTACCCTGGCCCGAGTTATGATCATTTAGTCTTCTTCGGACATCCACGGTCTCTCCTATATAAAGGTATCCATAGCTCCTCGTGGAAACCAGAAGATATACGGCAGGTATACAGTCGAGAATAATGTCACATGGTCGGAAAAGTGGTGACCCTGGTATGATGGAAGAGGCGTCATCACGAGAGCAGAGGCGCTGCGTTATGGAAGTAATGTGAGCCATGTACTTTGATGTCATCTCCAGGACAGACAGAAGATGAGCAACAACTTCGTCTGGTCTTCCTACAAAGAAGACATCGGAACAGTGTCTTGTTCTTGATAGAAGAACTACCACTTGAGCGGCATCCCATAATGCAAAATTCAAATCGCTGTATAGAGCGTTGTTGCAAACTGCGGTTACAAGCTTGCCAAAAGTAGCTCCTTGGCTTGCATGAATGGTAGAGGCTATCCGCAACCTGATACCATATTGTGCTCTCCTAGCAACAATGCGACCCCAAATCCTTTTTGGTTTTGACATTTGAAATGGAACTGCAACTGGTTCCCAGCCGTGGAGCTTCAAATACTCTCGGTTGAAGTTTGCAAGGAGTGGGAACTCCTTACAACCTGGCGGACCCTTGTACAGTTCAATGTTTCGTTTTGCATCAACATCGCCTTCGTCAACGTCAAGTAGTATTGCAAGCTGGCCTTGCTGGTAGGACCCATGCAGATTATGAGTAAATTCGTACCTTCCTTTCTTGTACAGATATAGTTTTTTCTTCTGTTTCAGCTTTCTTGATAATTCCTGTGCAACAGGAGAAGAAGCAATTTTCCAGTTACCTGCTACGGAAGATTCTTCGTCTTCAGAAGGCGACATAACCAAGGTAATTGTAGGTTCATTCTCCATACGCTTAACCAGCACATTTTCAATAGATTCGCAAGGCGCTCTACGGCCAAAAACGTATATTCCATCTTCGGGTATTCGCACATCATCGAATGTGGAAACAAAGTTACAATTTTTGGTCACAATTTCTCTGAATTCATTCCTCAGATTGTCATCCCACTCAGAAATGCGAGTGAGCCGACACAGTCTGCGAAGATTTGCGTCTCGGGCAGCTCGGACGGATTCTGTTAGTTCGGTAAAATGGAATTCTGTCATCATATTCATTGACAGCATCAATGCCGTGCCATCAATTGGCATTAGCTGATGAATATCCATTGAACAGATCACAAGAATGCCACCAAGGAATCTGCTGGAATCTTTCACATTCCTTGCAATGATGTCCATGGTTGCTAACAACTCAGCACTGACTGCTCCAAACTCATCAATATACAGGAATTGAAGTTCTCGCCAAAAGTGCAGCAACTCTGGTCTTCGGTACATGCTAATAAGGGCAGCTTCCGCGGTACGACCAGGAGACATGTTTCGGCGATCGCTTATAGGTATTGCGCATCGAAGGTGGATGTGCATCCCACCAAGTGCCTTACTTCTATCAGCAACGATGCTTGTTGCTATTCCCTTCAATCCTCTGGACATTGCGTAAAGGCATATTTCTTGACACACTGTCGTTTTACCATTGCCCGGACCTCCGCATATGACAACGTTTTTGTGAGATACGCCGCGCATGTAACGATCAATTGTATGTTTTGCTGATTGTAAAACCTTCTTTTGTTCCGTGTATGAAGCAAAGCTTTGTACTCCGTGGATCGCAAATTCTGGAGGGAAGACGTAGTCTACAACACCAATGCTTTCTACATTAATGCCATCGTCGCGCAATGGAGCTGTGAGGGAATGCATTGTCTCCATATTGTCTCTGTTTGGAAGGTTTGCGTTTGTGAAACCGGCGTTCAGCAAATCGCTATACAAAGCGCGGAGGAAAGCAGCCAGTAATTTGCGCTTTTCGGAATTGATCTTTTTGGTAGTTTCTTGTCTCATTGCCGACTGCAACACACATGGAGTGCCCATGACCAATTCATCTTCAGCCCCCAGCAGACATTCGGAAAAGGCGGCGTTGGCAAGAACAAGATTTCTGTCGCGATTGTATACAGATCCAGACTGCCAACATAGGCATTTACGAACGTATTGGCTCAACAAGGATCTGACTGATTCATTTTTCACTTCAGTGTCATCAGAGGAAGTAAATAACCCTGCATGAATGTAGGCTTTCTTCATGTTGTCTTGATCCATCAAGCCGTATTCAGTTTCAAAACGACCAAACAAAAGGAGGATGAACACCAAAAACCGACCTCTGTTCTTTGGAAACACAGGTGTGGTCCATGGAGTAGGAAGCACCGTAGATATATCAGACGATAAAAATGATTTCGATATTGTGTTGTATTGGTTTCTTGAGCTTTCTCGTGTTGTGCGGCGGGCCCCTAGTTCATCCTCGTCAACATTCATGGCACTGAATTCAAACTGGTTCTGTAGTCTCTCAATTTGCGTGAGTAAAGTAATCATTTTGTGGCGCTGACGTGCACCACCAAAGTAGTCACTGTCACATTCTCTTGTATAATCAAGTATTTCTGACAATGCACCCCTCCGCAAGACAATGTGCATGTTCAGGCCGTCAATCCAGTAGCATTTCATCACATCTAATCTCAGTCTTTTTTGTAGCCCTTGTGTCAATGTGTCTTCGTCATGGTGAAGAGACTGCCTTTTAAACCACCGAAAAAATAACCGAACGCTGTTGACAAAACGTAGCTCCGGGGGGCGAATACTGAAAACAGTGACAGCGTCAACTGTGAGGGATGAAGATCTTTCGTCAAAAATCACTTTCATTTGATTGGAAGAAAACAGGCGATTCTGCGGAAAGTTCCGATCTTGTCTGATTTCTTGATTGATGTTTGTGAGGTAAGCGACATGATCCGGAACATTGTCCACATTGCATTGCCCTCTCTTGAAAAGTGCAGGGCGGTATTCTCGGGGTGATGTTGAAAAATGGACAAAGGGAACCGACGATGTTACAAGGTCTTCACCAAGAATAACAGAGAGACATTCCGTCTGAGTTACAAGTCTCCCATAATTCGAATTCTTCTTTCTAGTTTGACTAGCATGGATTTTATTTGAAGTGATTTTTGTGTTGTGAAGCTCTTCAATTACTCCTCTAGCACGGGTCTTATCAAACTTTGCTTGTGGTTTCAACTCAACCCTTGCAACATCATCCATCTTTGTCACATATTTCACCAAATAAGCGCCTATCATGTGTCCTGTTGTATATTGGATGTTCTGCGAACTTGGAAAGCAAGCAAATAGGTTTCCGTTGGTAGGAGAAAACTTTTTATTGTCAATGGAGCATATCGGAACATGGAACTCTGACAGTAGGCAGTCATCAAGTACAAGATCCCCGTCCATCATCCCAAGGTTGTTGTAAATCTTAATGGCGTCTCTTGTGTGGGAGACTTTGACAGGTTCAATAGTGTGCCTATACGGTGTCAGAGTCTTGTAGTAATTGTCTTGCGCCTTGCAAACAAAGTAAGTTTCCCCAGTTTGTGTTCTTGTGCGTGGAATCTGGCATCTTGTGTTACAGCTGTGTGTCAAATAAGATTTTGCCTGGTCGAGAATATCAATGAAATGATCTAGAGAGGAAATCAGCCCCTTCCCTTTCATTTCTAAATACTCCTGGTAATGGATGAGTTCATTGACACACCCTCTGATTTTGTTGAGCACAAGTTCCAACTCATTTGGATTATCGACATTGTAGGATGTTCGAAGAATGGAGTGAATATGCGCCAAGTTACCTTGAGTATCTGTACAAACCATGCAAAACAACAATACCGAGTGAAATATGATGAAAGGTAAACAGGAAAATCAAAGCAACTGGGTCGCTAACCTTGGAACTCTTTCCGGTACCATGCATAGTCTATTGGACCCAAAGGCTGTTCTGGAGAGTAGATGATATATCGCATCCACATATCTGCAACTTCGTTCCAACTGCGGGATACATACGATGCAGCAGATTCTCTCAAATATTGTGATGCTTCATCCATGTCCAATCCATATTTTGCGCAGATCAACATTACTGCTTCCTTTGAGATGAGCCATTCCCTCACCACACGCAAGCCACTGCATGTTTTCTGGTTACAGGTCTGAGTGAAGAAGTAATGGGGCCTCCTTTCTTCGACAAGTGCTGCCAACTTATGAACATTGGCATGATTTTCTGATGTGTCGCCGTAAAGTTCTGCAGAGTCGCTTCTGTCTCGAAAACTCACACCGTCTTTTTGCTGGTGGTCACAAAAGCCTCTTTGTAATACCAAGCGAGTGTGTTTCCCATTTGCTCCTAGGTTTGTTAGTTGATCGAGTAACATAAAATGATAAGCAGGATCAACGGATGTTGGCATTGCAGGATTAGAAACTCTCATCTTGGCATGGTCTCTCATACTCCCAATGCCAAGCTTTTTCAACGTCTGCTTGTTTGCCCATAGTGCTGTTGGCATGGCACCAGGGATAGAGCCGTCATCTAAACTGTACCAAAATATTGTTGGAAATAACTGCCCTTCGGCATAGACCAGAGGAATTACCTTTGATTCTGCCTTTGCAACCAGTCGTTCGGTGATTGACCGATGCATTTTATTCATTCAAAGTTTGTGGTTTGTTCGCGTCAATAAGTGTCCATGTTGATTAAGTATGACATAAAGTGGAATCCGAAACTTGGAAGAATCACTGTGTTCAACAGCTATCTCACATTGATCTGTTCCTGTGGTTGTTGTAGGGATAGTTGTGGTAGTGAGATCCTCAGCACCAAAATGCTCGGAGACATGACTCCTGTTTACGCTATTGTTGTGTTCCTGATCACCAACTACCACCCTCTGCTGGTCTTCATCATTTGTTGGCGCTGCAACAAAATTCCACGGT